CTCAAATGTGGTTTCAGATTTACGATGATGAGATACAGATATGTGGGGTCTATTAATTTTTTTAAACATATAAAAAAACATAAATAAGAAAATTAATTAAAAAAATAAATTAATAAGGGCATAATAGTCTTTTTAGGTAAGATAGGGACTAAGCGTGCAACAAAAATAAACAGTAGAGACCATCCGAATTAAAAAGAATAAGTTAGGGACCAAATGCACAAATTCCCCTATACCATAGGGACCATTCATGTAATTTACTCTTACTTTTGGTTTTGTTCATATTTAGGTAACTATTTTTTTTGTACAAATCTAGGTAACGAACTTGATGAAAATGTTCATATATAACCATTATGACCTGCTGTAGCTGGATGTAACCTGCTACAGCAGGTCATAATGGTTATATGTGAACAATTTCAAAAAGTTTGTTACCTAGATGTGTACAAAAAAAAGATAGTTACCTATATATGAAAAACCCAAAAAGTTAATTACCTTAACAAGTCCTATTCCCTAAAAGATAATGTAAACACTAAAGTCTTTCAATCCATTATACTATATTTAACACTAAAAAGTAAAAAGAATATTTTAGATATATTGTTCTTTGTTCAACATTATATTTAGTGTTGCACTAAAATCCAACACTATATATATAACACTATATATAATGTTAGATATAATGTAGGGTTGGAACATTATAATGTAATTTATAGTATAAAAGTGGTTTTTAGTGTAAGGTTGGAAATGACCTAACAATGTAATCGACATTCTTGCAATTACAATGAGACTCAATAACACCATCAGATAGTCAAGATTCAAACATAAACAAAAGTCAAGTTATAATCAATAAAAGGGTATATGGACCCACATGAATGGAAGTAAAGATATAACATAATCAAAGTCAAGGGTATATAAATCCACAATCAAAAGTTAAAGGGTATAAAACCCATGATGAAAGTTAAAGAAAAAACCCCGTTATTTAAACTTATTCACAGAAACATGTCCTTAGTTTAATATCCGACACCGCGAATCATAAATTATAATCAATAAAAGAAGGGAACACATAGTACATAACTACATATATTACCCAAGCAATATATATATACATACAATATTACAAGAAAGTAAACACAAGTCAAAATACATAATATAATATAGTAGAGACATGTGCTTCAAGGTAAGGGTGTGTATGGGGCGATTAGGTTCGGTTATTGGTTAAAACCAAACCACAACCATTTCAATTGGTTAATGTATTTTGATAGCCATTGGGTAACAGTTAATATTGGTCTTGGTTAACGGTTTTAGTTGGTTAATGGTTAATATCGGTTAACCATAATAATCCAAGATTGCATAAAAATAAAATTATTTTTCTATAAAAATTGAAAACATAAAGTTCATTGTTATAAAAAATGAATGATCGTGTACATATATAATTGTATTGATAGAACTTACCATATATAATTCCAAATATCTACTCTTTAAATTTTCCATTCCCAATATAATTACATAACATATATTTACTATTAGATTATATTAAATACATTTATTAATATTATTGGTTCGGTTCAGTTTATAACGGTTCAATTTTAGATGGAAACAATAACCGAACACTATGTATTCAGTTAATTAAAATTAGAAACCGCACCATATCTTTTAATAATGATTTAGTTATATCGATTAATTTGATCATGGTTTGATTTTTTTGGTTAATATGCTCACCCCTACTTCAAGGTAAGAGTACTCACCTCAATAACTTGTAATGTCAGTTCACCTTGCTTCAATGCTAAAGTGATCTCTTAATCACTTCATAATGATGTGTTCAAGAGGTTACAAAATGCCTAAAATACCCTTGAGAAGGTTCATAACTTTCTTATTCTACTTGTTTTAACCCCATATGCAAGGTTTGGTCTATTAGATGTCAAGGGCTTAAGGGTTAGGGTTTAAAAATCAATTTTGAACTTATTAGTCTTTTACACATTGTGTAACTTATGCCTTGGGAGTTACACTCAACACATCTATGAAAATGATTTTTTACTCTATAGGCAATGTAGTTTGCTCCTCTTGCTTCTAAATTTGACTAATGAGTCTTAATAACTAGGAATGACAACGGGGCGGGGCATGATTTCCCAAACCCGCCCCGATATCTTTCGGGTATCTTATCGAGGCGCCCCATTGGGTTTCAGGTTTTCCGGTCGGGTTTTGAGTATCTTATCGGGTTTACAATAATTCATAACAAAATCTTTCAACTGTTTTAGGGTACCCCGATATCTTATAAAAATATGTGTTCTTGCATCTCTTTTAAATTAAAAATATGATGCATCACTTTAATAAAATAAACTAGACGTTATATTAAAAATTATTTGATTTAAGTTAATGTAATACGGCAGAACATAAAAAAATGATCATTTACACCAAACTGTTAATAACTAAAAATATTGTCCATAATACGTATTTTATATTTAAACAAGTGCAATTAGCATCAAAAGGTTTCGAACACACACACACACACACACACACACACACACACACACACACATATATATATATATATATATATATATATATATATATATATATATATATATATATATATATATAAAATCGGGGCGGGGCGGATCGGGGTGAGGATAACCCACTCCCTGCCCTGAACCCGATAAAAAACCTGATAACGACCCGTTATCCGACCTGAAATGATCGGGTTTCGGGTTTCCGTGTAGGGTTCGGGCTCTTTTGCCATACCTATTAATAACCTAAAAACATTCTTAATTTAATAATTTTATCTCTTTTATGTCCTATGTTACTCTTGACTTGAAGTTAGGAATGACAATTAGGCAGGTTTGGGGCGGGGCATAGTTTTCCAAACCCGCCCCAATATCTTTTGGGTATCTTATCAGGGCACTCCATTGGGTTTCGGGTTTTTCCGTTGGGTTTCGGGTATCTTATTGAGTTTACAACAATTCATAACGAAATATTTATTCCATTTTAGGGTACCCCGATATCTTATAAAAAATACATGTTCTAGTATATATTTTCAATTGAAAATATGATGCATCACTTTAATTAAATAAATTGGACGTTATATTAAAAATTATTTGATTTAAGTTTAGTGTAATACGTCAAAACATAAAAAAATGATCACTCATACCAGATTGTTAATAACAAAAAAGATTATCCACAATATGTATTTTATCTTTGAACGTATGCAATTAACATCAAAAGGCTTAGAATATATATATATATATATATATATATATATATATATATATATATATATATATATATATATATATATATAGGGGATAGGGAATATACATTACAGCCCCACCTAAGCTTAGGTACTAAACCTCTAAAATATGTCGTTTTAACATGCTAAATATACCCGGTTTGGTTTCACTTTGTAAATATATCATTCTCCATAACATTTTTTTCTTTCATTATCGTTTTATTATCTCCATTTTCTTACCTCAATTATCGTTTATTACTTCATCCAAGTGAACATTACTAAACCCTAAACCTAAACCTAAACCCCAAATTTAAACCCTAAACACTAAAGCTAAAATCTAAACACTAAACACTAAACCCTAAACCCTAACCGTAAACCCTAAACCCTAAACCATAAACCCTAAACATAAACCTAAATCCTAAACCCTAAACTCTAAACCCTAAACCCTATTGTGTCGATCTTGAATTTACATCTTGAAGTATTAATCGTGAATCCATTAACCGTAATCTTTATATAGTAAAACAATGTATTTTCAAGAGGTTTAGTACCTAAGCTTAGGTGGGGCTGTAATGTATATCCCCTTTTCCCATATATATATATATATATATATATATATATATATATATATATATATATATATATATATATATATATATATGTAATCGGGTCGGGGTGATGATAACCCACTCCTTGCCCCGAACCCGATAACGACTCGTTACCCGATCCGAAATGATCGGATTTCGGGTTTTCCTGTCAGATTCAGACTTTTTTTTTGCCATCCCTACTTGAAGTTTAAGAGATTTAGACCTCACAAGAGCTTTAGGGGAATTATATGAACGTCCAACCATCAATAAGGGTCCATAAATTCTTAATGGCTTCCAATAGACTTTTAAACACTTAATAAATATTGATATACTTCTAATATAACTACTAGAATGATTAAAATGAAGATTGACATCCATAAGTTTGGAGATTGGTCGACTACAAACTCTAAAAACTCAATAGAAGCATTGCCATATGATATGTCGCTCGACTTCATGATATTTTGTTTTCGCGACAACAATCTTCTATAGGAGTCCTCTAAACACCATAGTGTAATTTCCGGTTCTAGTGTTGAGGATGAGTATCATGCGGCTTTGCAATCTTCTCCATGAAATTCCCTCATTACTTGCAAAAGCTACCATATCTTTTATTGTGATAATTTTGGTGACATATCTTTTGACCAATCTGCTTCAACAACGATGAATCAAACATATTGGGATCGATATTCACTTTATCCATGACTAAGTTACATTAGTGCGCACACACATTATACATGTTCCATCAACCTCACAATATGCGTATGATTTCACCAAAAGGCTTCCTAGATCATTATTTATTTATTTATTTTTTTATTTATTTTTTTTTTTTCCTAATCTAAATGGTCATACCATATATTCCTCAAGATAATACTTTTTGGGGGATATTACGATATATGTAGATAGCCATTTGTATAATATAACTGGCTTATGTCCGGCTTATCATGATCTGTTTGTACTTTGTAATATTGTACACATATATATTTAACTAATGTAAAGATACCTGGTTCATGGTTTCATGAGGAAAATACTATCTTACGGATCCTTAACAAAAAAAAAAACAAAACACAAAAATGCTTACTCCGGAAAACACGTTTGCACGCATAAAATTCATCCATTATTTGCTTCCAAAATGCAAATGGTTATTTCTCGTTGTTCTTGGTCAATGGCAATGATAACAACGTGTGATAATTGAGTCATAATCTCTAGGGTTTATCAATGCCAATCATATGTGGGAAGTTAACTAAAGCGCGGTTTCCTCGGTGCTTAAAGGCTGCTCTATCGTAGGCTATGGCTGCTTCCTCTGGCGTCTTGTACGTCCCCAGCCACAACCTTCCACCTTTCTTGTCTGGATTTCGTATCTCCGCCGTGTACTTCCCCCACCGCCGCCTCCTCACGCCTCTGTACCTCTTGGCCGTTGGTTCTGTTTGCGAGGACGCTTGATTCTCCTCCCTCTCATCACACAAATATTCAGTCCCGCATGGCGAAGCTTCAGCGTCCTTTCCGCTGACCACTAATTCCACCATTTCCCCGCTTGAGAAATCCCAATTTATTGGCATATTTATCCCTCCATCCGCCGTTAATGAACTCATACCGGAAATGCATGATGAACTTTCCTGCAAATCTCCTGTTTCTGGGTACAACAAATCCGTAAAATCAACATTGTTGACTGGAAGGATGTCATCAAGCTTGCCAATATCATCAACAGTTCCCAACTGTTCAATCCATTCATCCATTAAGAACGAGTCAATGTAGCTCAAACTTGGGGTATGGTGGTATATCTCACCCGAGTTTGATGAGCTCCAAGCTTCTTTATCAATATTCATGGACGATCCACCATGGTTCTCAAGAAATGAAAAATCGTCGTTATCAAAACTCCAACAAACATCTGCAGGTATTTGATATTCGTGGAGAACATTCTCAGAATCATCATCAAGAAGGTATTTTCGTATAGATTCAAGGTTGGAAGAATTGAACTTAATTTGTGTATCCATGATGGGTATTCCTTTTTGGGACATATAGTGGTAAGTGACTAAGAAGATGCGTTATTATGGTATTTATAGGCAATAGAATAAAGAAAGACTTGGTCCATTTCCATTGACTATAAAGTAATTGTTCCATGACGACTAGAAAAATAACATTAGATCTTTGATGTCAACGTACGGACTACGGAGGAGACATTGTTGATAGTGCTATGTATGTAACATGTGTGGAGGAGCATTATATTCAATAGTTTGTAATATTGGTGATGCTGATGCTGATGCTGATGCATGCAGTGCAGATTATGAATGGAACCCACTTGAAATCATTGTGGCTGTTCGAGTTGCTGATGGGAATGGTGTTACACATGTGTAGATAGCAGCAACACCCGTAACCAATAATTTTAGTTCTAGTTAATGACACAGTGTGAGTTCACTGTATATTTCAACTTTTATCTTCGATTGATTATACAATGATGCATGGCAAGGTATGAATTATGATAACTCTATAGATTTTAATGGATTGCTATATAATTTTTTACATTCCATATAATTCTATCAATTTTTTTTCTTCCTACAACGCATTTAACTCTATAAAATTCAATAGAAAATTAAAAAAACTAATTTATAGTATATATTTAAAATTAAAAACTTTGATTTTTTCTATTGAAAAACTACATGACTATTAAACTTCAAATCTATTGAATGTCAATGTGACATTTATTATGGTAGAGTTTAATAAATTAAATGACAAATAGACTTGTCATCTTATTCAATTCTTCTATTGAACTCACAATTATGAACTCACAATTATGAACTCTTAAAAGTGTTATCTTGCTCTAGAAACGAAATCTGTAGCTAATCGACGCAACGAACACTCAAATAAAATGACATATAGTGACATACATTTTTAGTGGCATATGGTTAATGTACCACTATATCATGGTTTTTAGTGGCCCTTGTTATATGCCACTAAAAAATTAATACATTTAATGGCATTTAATTTTTTGTGTCACTAAATTACATAGTTATTAGTGCATAATGACTTGATATACCACTAAAACTTTTTTTTTTTAATTAAAAATACCATATAGATAATTCTTATAATAACTAAAAAATATAATTATAATATTAACAATTTATTTCATATTTCTCATTTAAAACTAGTATTACATATATGTGGAAATTTACTATAATTATTAATTGATTTGTTAGTTTTTACGAAAAAGAAAATCAAAAACCCATGACATCAGTAACCCAATAACCCAACTTGACATTTTTATGTATTAATCCTAGGCATTAGCGAAAGGACCGAACCGGCCGGAACCGGCCTGACCAGGACCGATCCGGGAATCGGCTTCGGCCAAAATCAAGAACCGAACCAGTCCGACGGTTATACCTGTTCCGGGTTCGGTTTTTGCCGGGTTTTCGCTTTTGGAACCGGTCTTCGAGAAATATCAATGTATTTTGGGGTTACGGTTTCGATTTATGCCCGGTTATTGAATGTGATTATAAGCTCGAAGATCAATAACATGAATGCAAAATTGTTCTGTTTTTTATATACATATACATTGAGTATATATACATGGATAAATATTATTGTATTTTGTTTGTTTTTGTTAAATATCCGAATGATAGGATCTGAGGTTTTCTTGAAAAGTGAACATATGGTTATGAATTAAGGATATATAATTTACAAAATAAGTTATGCAAAAAGCGCTGTTAGATGAAAAATGAAAAATGGAAGAAAAGGCATTTAAATGAATCTCTGAGCAAAATCCCTTTTCTATTTATTTGTGGATATATAATATATTTTCTATCTTGTAAATGTGATTTGAAAGTACATTTCTCTTACAAACTGGCTGATGTTGATATGTTGAATAACTTAAATTCACAACAAAGAAAGAGGTTTAGGTACATAAGAAGATTAAATGTTGTAATTATTCATCATATAACATTTACAAAAATTTAGTTGATCAATCTTGTATTTGGTTTGCAAAATTTAAATGAGTCACTTTTCTCAAACAACCATTGCACTATCATTAACTATCCAACATTTGAACATTCAACATTCAAAATACACTTTCAAGTTTCCCCAACAAAAAAAAGTCTAATATGTGGATTCCAACATCTATTTGACATTTTGACTAATTCTCCGATCTCTTCCCCGTTAGCTTCAAGTTTTGTATAGCATCCACAATGTCTATATATAATACAAAAGGAAAACGTTATTACTTAATAAAATGTAACAATTACTAATAAGATGTAACAAGTTACAAGTATTAGTGTATTACCAATAGCGAGGTCATCGTCAGCTAACACATCGTGCACTTTGCTGTAGTCATATTTAGGCAAGCTACTCTTTCTTAGCCAATCTTGAGTGCATATCAGTGCCTTCACAATCACAACGGACAAATTAGTATGGTAGTCGGTAATTACTCGACGACTGTTACTGAATGTGGATTCGGATGCTACGGTGGAAATTTGCATCCCCAAAATATCTATTAAGAAACAAATTAATGTATAATAAACGACACGAATTTATAAAATAAAAATAAAAATTAGAGTAAAAGAAGGTCGATACCTCTTGCCATTCGAGCAACGATCGGGAACCGCACTGCGTTATTTTTTCCACCATGTGAGGATATCATATCCTTTGTCCGATTAGGTCCTCATTTATGTATCGTTGCAATTGACTTTCTGCGTTATTTTTCCACCACTATCTTGTTTATAGAAATTGGGGTCAGCTCCCTCACAGAAAACCCATATTCATAGATAATCAGATTGAAGAAGCCTGTAGTGGGCAAACGCAGACCCGCCTCGAATAAGGCGATTGGAATACCGACGATGTATCGGGAAGAGGAATCTGAACCCCATGTTCGGAGACAAACCCAAATCGAAGCTGAAAAGACTCCCATTCTTCAGCGGTAAGATCCCTACCAGAGAGACGATTTGTAGCCATGGAAGAATGCAAAGAAAAGGTCGAAAGGGTTCTTTGAGACAAGAAAGCAGAAAGAAAAAGGCAGAGAGTGAGGAGGAAAGAACTAGGGTAACAAGGTCTTAAATGCTACTAAAGAGGTAGCGAACCGTCTCATGATGAAACTGCCGAAGAACGCTTCGTCATGAGAACCGCAAAAACTAGCAATAGCAGTCCACCATGTGTCTACAGGTAGACCAGAACGACTCCGCTACGTCACGAACGCAGAAGCCTACTAGTCTAATGGACTTGTTAACGTTACTGTACGCGGCCACGTTAAACTTAACGGAAAGCACTAACGGGGCGTTATCTAGCCAAGACCATGGTCGGAACTCGGTCTTGGCCCAAGTAGGCTAGCGTTGAGCTGGTGGCCCGCTAACCCTCATAGGAAACAAATATTCCTCATAATCTTTTCATTTTCTCGTAACCAATCAGGTTATGACAAGGAGTCTGATGATGCCTAGAACTGACATCACCTAGCAGTTAGTTATCATGGGCATATTCCTCCCAATAAGAGAGTGTCACGTATGAATTCCACATGGGAGAGTCATCTCATTCCGTTAGAAACAGGTATAAAAGGATCTCTTCCTTCCCAAGGAAGGGATCCATCTTCTTCCTCACACAATTTACCCTAAAGTCTCTCTAAGAAAGCTAACTTAATCGTCGGAGCAACATCCCGGGAGAACACCCGACTGTCCTTTAATGATTCTCCTGTGTTGTTTTCTCAGGTAAATTTCCGGGAAAGATCCATCATCCATCTTCCGATCCCCTGATGAACATGTCACAAAAATAGGATACTCATAGAATAAAATAAATACTGGGACTATACATGATAGTACGAAACACACAACTACCTAGTAAATACATTAAGATGGAGAACTCATGTGGAAAATCGCTATATACAAAAACTTCGGATAAAGACAATTACCAATTCGACTTCTCACAACCTATTTTGGCCTAACATTTCCCCTATTTGTGGGAAAAGAAGAATCATTAAACTTTAGGTAGAATCTTTACAGTCTATAGAAAAACATATCGTATCTTCATACACCATTGAATAATCTTCCTTATATTTGCTCTGTCTTCATTCTTGTTTTTTGACAGTTGTTGATGCAAAGTAGGATACTAGTAAGATGTGTATTCAAATACCTTTCAGCATCATTGAAACGAAATAAGATTTTTTTCCTGCTCTTATTCTTCCCTTTTCCAATAAACACAACACAAAGAGGATCATGCACAATCTCTCCATATTCACAATCCTTTATGCTTATTTTTCCTTTTAACAACACCTTAGGAACTTTCGATCTTCTATTGAAGTGAGTAAATAGATCGATATCTGTCAGAGCTAGATGAGCAAATTAAGCATCTAGAAAAGTCTTGAGATGCCCATATCCAAGAACATAGGTAGTTTTATCTGGAGTATTAGTCTTTTTAACATCACCTATCAATAATGCAGTCGAAACAAGATCATTCACATTCATTAGTGGAAAATCTGCAAGTGTGAGTTCAAACGGCACAATGTTTGCACGAAAAACCTTGTAACAGAAATTCTGCAACAATCCTTTGAATAATATATCAGGAGTAATTGATATGAATTTGAAATTTTTTAACCAATGACCATAACTCCTCCTCGCTCTTCCCCAATAATGCATGAAATCGTATCTTTAACTTTTTGAATTCCTCCTTGTCATGGTAATTATCAACAAGTTTAAATTGAGAGAATACAAACAAAGAGTAATCAACTGGAAAATCCTGTTGATTAAACTATGTATTCTTAGTTGCATATCTCTTCCTTGGCTTGACCAAACAGTCTTCATCTTCACTGAAAGTTGAACTTTCAATTAATTCGTAATTCCAGACTTTATTCGGATCACCTTTGTTAATAAGAGGTGGATCATCTTTCGTTTGCCTTAAGATGTTATTCAACCGCCTCATATCCTCCATCTCAATATCTTGCAACCTTTTATTTTCTTTAGTTGAGGGCTCGACATGGACACCCTTCCCTCTAGATTTGGGATCAACATGTGATGTAGTTTTAACTACATCAGAACTTGAACCTTCCTCTCCAATAGTTATCCATTTGTTCTACAACTTAGGTAAGTCAACATCGACATATGGAGTATTCGGTGTTTTTGTTTTTGAAGTTGTAACCATTGTTTTCATCGATAACGAAGTGGGAACTTGAGTAGACATGACCCTTCCCATAACTATGCCTTTATCTTCATCAACTCCTTTACACGAACAAACCCCCTTTCTCCCCCTTGCAAAAAAAATTGTAGAATGTGGAGAATTTGTTGAAAGGTGAAGGACGAGGTCAAGAATTGGTGCCAACTTAGATTTAAAGTAGGATTCGACTGAAGAGGCCACTGGCAAAAGAAAATCTTGGCAAATCGAAGTAGTTGATTGAAAATCAAACTTTCATAAGGTATCCCAGTCAAATACTTCTTTATCTGAGAAAACATCTTCCTATCTTCTTCTTTCTAATTCTTTAAACCATAAATATCATCTTTATTGAAAATAGTAAGATCTTCGACCAAACGAGTTGTAGCTCCAATCAGCAGCACATTAACCTTATGAGTTACAGTTTCACAAAACTTTTCAAGTTTTTGAACTTATCACTAAACTCTTTTATCTTCAGTTCGATACAATTCTTTGAATCAATCACCAGCTTCTCAAAAATTGAATGACACTCACGATTAACATCTTGTAATTTCACAAGTTCATAGTCAAAACTACGAGAGTGAGTAGCCAATTTTGCATTAACAGTCTTTTCAATACCTTCAATTAAAGTCCTAGTCCTTGACCCTTGAGACTTTAATAGGTACTCAACCTAAACTCCACTAACTGTTGACTTCCCAACACTATCATTCAGGAACTAAAGAATTGAATTCATTTTAGAATTAAGGATCTTGAATTGTTTACCGGACATTTATCAAGAACATTTTTTCATATGGATTTAATTCCAATTCTCCAAAAAAACCGTGACATCATCTTCATCATTAATAGTCTTGTTCGCCTATGTGGATTGAGATGAAAATAATGATGTAATAGGTTCATTCATCACCGCTTGAAAAGTTGGTGATACAACTGATATGGATGTAGGTGGAATGGTAGACGTTTGTCGTGGAGACGAAGGTGGTGGTGGAACAACTGGAGCATCAATGGTTGTTGTCGAACTCCCATCACCCATGTTAATATTTATGTCCTTATTAGATAAGTTCACATTGATGTTTAGAGTTTCGTCCTCCTCCATATTGGACTTGGAATGCAAAACCTCGGGTGGTGTGACAATTGTCTTCTCTAGGAGTGATGTAATTGTTTGTCCACCGGAATTGATGTTTGCGTCTATATTAGGTATGTTCGCATTGACATCAGGATTACTTGTCTCCTTGAAAATTGATTTGATAGAGGTATCATTCCTCATTTAAACATGAAACAAACTTTATAATGCATCTACAATGGCTTCTGTAGCATAATCATGCTCAACTGTAACATTCATTATTGGTGTTTCAACAGTAAAAGGCTTAAGCTTCTTTAGTCTATGTACAAATTCTAGTGCTTTCCTCTTCTTTGTATCAGGAGAATCAGGAGTGGAAACACCTTTAATCATAACTCCCCCCTTTGTCACATTTAGCTGTATCTTGTTAGGTTTCGTAGGAAAAACTATGTGAGAAGGATTTTCACATTCTTGAGTAGAAACTTCCTCAGTAACCTTCTTAGGAACCTTCTCAATAACCTTTTGAGAACCAATACTTATATATTTCTCATAAAAAGATTTTGGTGTCTTCTTAAGAATACCCTGTCCTGATTTCGTAGACACAGTTTTCCGAGGCACCTCCTTCTCTATTGCTTTAGGTTTTGTTGTTTGCTTCTTCTTATTCGCACCCGTGGCTTCTTTGGAAGATCCATCTGCAGCTTTAAAAGTAACCTTCTTAGGAAATATACCAGTAGGATTTGGATCCATGGAATCTTTATATTTGATCAAAAGCTTATTGGTAGGAGATACCAAATTAAGCATGGAATCCAGAATTTGACCATCCATTGTAAATACAACTGGATCATCAAGGGTAGATTTGGGAATACTCATCTGAGAAAATGTGGCACCATCATCATCAATAGGTAGAGGAATATGTTCTTGAGTAGAAACCTTATTTAAAAGAAAACTCCATAATCGAGCACTAGACACTTCTATAGTCATATTCGAATGGAAAATCGAGTCACCAAACTCATCCCGGAGCAATGAGACATAAACAACATTGAAGCCATAGTACTAACCATCCATAATCAAATGGAACTTGATTTTCACCTTATCTAATCCAAAACTCATGCCTATTAAACAACAAAGAGTAATTCCAAAGAAAAAACTCCATACCCTAGGAAGACTCAACTTCTTGAAATGGCTAATAACTGAAAGAGTTGGCTGATGCCCCGTTTCATTAAACATGTTGATAATTTTTTCACTTGTAACTTCGTCGAACTCACCTTCAGATGGTAATTTTAGGATTTAGGCATATTGCTTCTTAGTAAATCGTTTTCTCTTGCTCGATGTTAACTGAAATGTGACGATTTCAGTTGTTATGTTGTACACATCAGTTGAAGCATCCAAAGATAACCATTTCATGGGTATAACAACAAAAGCAGTTAATGCATAAGTGATAATTTAATCATTAATCAATTGAAAAAGCATCTTCAATTTGTCTGGATATCCTTGATCAATGGGTTGAACCAAAGATTGTTGTTCTGAATCTTCATTGTTGGTTGAGAGGTTTCTCTGTCGTTTGTGTTGAATTGATCAACCATAGTGTTTCTAGTAGACATGATGAATGATCGAGAGAGAATTTGAGACTCGATTGCAAAGTGAATTTAGGATTTTTGCATGAATACCGGGAATGTGAAAAAGGAAACAGAATGATCACATCTTCCTTAAATAACCGATGTCAAATTCAAATTCAAATGTTGGCCAATTAGACAATGCCATGTGTAAAGTGAGTTATGAAACCATCAATGCCCTAAATCACCATGTGTAAAAAGTGATGATCACATTTCTTGAGACACGAGAAGTCACATAGAACGTTCTATCCAACAAACACTTTGTCCTTCCTAGAAAAATTAAACCGTCACTCATTTTGTTTCCAACCAAGAAACATTCGTCGTTATGGAGGTATATCTCATTAACTTATGGAAATGTTAAGTAAAATCATTTGCTAGACTATGAAATCTAGGTTTGAGTTAGTAATACCCATAACCTTGAGGAATTTAGTGCTTATGTGTACCAAAAGAAAAGATAGAATCAAATTAAGAAAATTGTGGACATAGTGATATCAAAGAATCTTTGATATAAAAGCAAATAGATCCCGGGAAAAGATACTCTTCATTCGTCATTAAGAGCGATGTCGAATTACATGTGTGGTTTCCCTTGAATTACAATCGTATACTCATTGAGGAGTAACAAAGGGTCTGTTTTAATAAGCTTCTTAGGTGGCTTCATTTTCATACTAATTCGCAACTTGACATAAGTGAAAATCGTTGTACGAAAAATACTTGTATGACTAGTGTAGCAAAGAACAATTAAGCTTTGGAAAAAAATTAAGTAATGAAGGAGTAAGACAAATGTTCATACAAAAATTTCATTTCATAAGAAAAATTAAGATTTGGATCTATTGGGAAGAAATGACTTGGGATTAGTAGTACATTTCATCAAGATCACACAAAAGAAATGAAAATGAGATTTTGAACATCGAAAATGGTATAGTGAAACATGAGGTTTCGTCAAAATCTTGAATAATATCTTCATCGTCAATTCATTAAGTTGTGGTTTGCTAGGTCTCACCCTCATCATGGAAAAAGCATTTAGTATCATAAATACAAAATTGTGACATACCTACATCTTGGTTATGTTTGGCCAAAGATGTCTTGGCATGCGTCATTGTGTGTTCTTATGTTAGAAGTTTAGGGTGAAAAAGATTGGTTAAGTAATTCCATTCTATCTCTACGAATGATAGGATCTTGAAGTTATCTCTTTACTCAAAATAAGAAGAGAAAGGTAGCTCTTCGACTATTGGGAAGAAATTTCCGTAAGAAAAAATCCATTAAGGCTTCTTACACAATGAGTCTATGAGGCTTTAGGACAATATGCTGCAACATGCTTCTAGGGACACTTAACTAGTACAAGAGTTTCATATCATACCATTTCTCATTTGAGCTTCACTTTGGGCCTCCAAAAAAGCAACACATTGTTACAATGAACTTCCCAATATCTTAGAAAATAAGGAAAATTTTTTGTATTCTTTTTATTTTTGAAAATAAAATTCAAACATAATGAAATTTTTTTGGATTTTAGTATTTTCTAAAGAAAAGACAAAAAATAAAGAAAATCTTTTTGAATTTTTGAATTTTATAAAAATAGAAATTCTTTTTGGATTTTTGATTTTTATAAAGAAAAGACAAAAATAAAACTGATATCACCAGCATTGATCATTCGTTATTGATAACAAATATTCGGTAGGTGAACCAATGATTCCTATTTTCTCTTCACTTCCCAATTGGAACGCTTCCCATTTACATATTCTTTTCACAAACGAGCGTTTCCCCTAAATATGAGCTTACCATAAACGTGAATTTCCCAGAAATATGTGCTTCCCATACGCTTGCTAGTGAGAGACACTTCCCATTCGCTAGATATCAACATATGTTGAATGAATAAGAGACAATGTCGAAAGAGAAGTGGGTAGAAGCGCTAAATGTGAACACTAACCTCTAAATGAAATTTTGTCAATTGACGAATAGTAGTCCAAAATTTTTGCAAATCAGATTTAAGAAAAATTAGTTATAAGTAGGAACATAACAAGCTTCCATCATTCCCAACCCATTTAAAATTCTCAAAAATGATTTTTCATCTAGTGGGTTTGTAAAAATATTAGCTAGCTGGTCTGTTCTTTTAATGAAATGAACTTCAATATTCCCATCTTCAACATGATCTTTGATGAAGTGATATCGAAGTGCAATATGCTTAGTTTTTGAATGTTGAACTGGATTATGACATATGTGAATTTCGCTTTGAGAATCACAATATAATGGAAATTTCTTCATGTTAATTATATAGTCACGTACAGATCCAGATCACTTGGGAACTACAAGCTGCATAAACAATGTATTTAACCTTAAATGTTGAAATCGATACAAACGCCTGCTTTTTCGATTGCCAACTCACAAGCTTCCCATCTAAGAATTAACATCCACTTGTTGTTCTTTTTCGACCCAATTGACAGCCTCCTAGATCAGCATATAAGAAACCTTGAATAAAGAACCTCGTATTTAATAGATACCACAATCCAAGAGTCGAAGTGCCATGAAGATAACGAAACATATTTTTCACCGCTGTAACATGGGGTTCTCTAGGATTCGCTTGAATCCTGGCATAATTACACACAAAAAACATAATATCTAGTCAACTTGTAGTTAAATACAATAACGAAGTGATCATGCTTCTATATGTCTTGAGGTCAACAACTGGCTTATCCAACGAAGGACCTCAGTGAGTTCTGACTGCCATGGGGACCTTAGCTCTTGAGCAATTCGTCATTCCAAACGTTCAAGCAAGTTTCAACTGTATCTTTCATGATTTATAAAGATTCCTTCCCTGCTTTGACGTATATTCAATCCTAAGAAATAATTGGTTTTCCCCATCATGCTCATTTCAAATTGCCTCTTCATAAGCTCCTCAAAACCCTTTTAACAATGAAGGGTCCGTACAACCAAATATTATGTCATCAACATAATTTAAAAAAGCATTAGGTGATCCCCTACTTTCTTTTGAAATAGATTGGGATAAATTGATCCTTGCTTAAATTTAGCAATTTTCAAAAAATTGGTTAACGTCGTATACTAAGCACGAGGTGCTTGTTTTTACCCATAAACAACTTTGTCTAGGATATAAAAATGATCAATATACTAATTGTTTACGAATACAAATGGTTGTTCGAAATACATCATCTCTTCAAGAATACAGTTAAAAAATGCACACTTACCATCCATCTAGTAGATATCGAAATCAGTATGAGCTGCATAAGCAAGAAAAATTTGTACAACCTTGAGTGCTGTGAAAGGGGAAAAGGTTTCTTCATAATCAATTCCCTGTTGTTGAGAATAACCTTTTACGACTAATCTAGCTTTGTTTCGAACTACATTTTCCTCTTTGTCCATTTTATTAAAAAAACCCATTTAAGAGCAACAACCGAAACATTATCAGGTTTGGGAGTTAACCTCCAATCTTTGTTCCTTTAAAATTCATCCAATGCAGATTGCATCACAACAACCCAATCGGGATGTTCTAAGGCATTCCTGACTGTTTTTCGTTCGATTTTTGAAATAAAAACATTAAACATACAATATACCTGATGAAAATTTAGAACCTCATCCCTAGCTCGAATCTGTGCCTGTGTGTAAAACACCTAAGCTAGGATCACCAAGAATTTGTTTTTTGGGATGATCCCTCATCCATTTCTCCATATGGGGAAATGTAGGATCAAACTCCAAATATGCATCCTTAAATGTCTCTTCAGCTTAAGATAATTCATCTGCAATAGAAATATTATCACTAATATCATGAAAATCATTACCTTGAGGATCATTATCATCATGATTAGTTCGACGTAGCTCCGCTTCAACCAATGGATTCATTGTTTGGTGCTCCCCCTTAACACCAACTTGCGAAGTCAATAACTCCCCCTCAACATCTTCCTGCAAATTCAACAACTCACCCTCGACCTGAGATTGAGAAGTTAAATTCCTCCTTTCAACATGAGGTGGAAAAATCAAGTGCCCCCCCCCCCCTCCAATTGACCATGTGTCGAATTTTGTTCTCTTTCAACATTGACTCTTGATGTTTATGAAGAATGAACTTCATTTTCTTCATTAGTAATTCAAGAATCATGTAAATGCTTTGATGCTTCCAATACTTGATTA